AAACTTGTGGCACAACGCGATTCAGAATTGAAGGTTTCAACTCAAATTTAGGCAAATGTTCAATTTGCGTTGCGTGACGATACCGGCTGCTGTCACAACAAAATCCTCAGTTATTCAAATACTTGCCACTTTTAAGTAAGATATGCCTCATTTTCCCACCAAAACTATATTAAGATTCCGTTTTTCCCTTTGCCAATGATACATATTGTTCAAAAATTAGTTCAGCAAGTAAAAGATACCTTTCCAAGCTTCATTTAATATTCCCACTGCCCCGAACATTCGTGTTAAGTCTGTTGTGTCAAGACGGAAAAATACCTTTTCAGAACCAAACCTCTTCTAGCTTAAAATGTGGTCCAGTCTGAAAAAGCTGCATTGACCAGAAGTTACTCCGATCCATCATATTATAAAATCGAACGTTAGAAGAAAAGTAAATTTCCCACTGCTTGATTAAATATGCGTGAACAGGTCAGAAAATGTTTAACTTGTACTTCGCCCCACGTAAGGGTATCCGGATTCCGGAAACTGGAAAATTTTTGCTTGTAGGATCCGGAATCCGGGAAAATTTTGATATGAAATCCGGAATCCAGGGCTTTGGAATCCAGAATAGAGCTCAAGCACCCTACTAAGGAATGAAATTCCACCGGAAAAGACTGGAATTCAGCACCCGGAATCCTGAATCCATGGAATGGGATCCAGAATCCACGACTGTCTTGTATTCGCTAACATGGGGCGATAGTACTGGACTGTGAACGACGACTTACAATTTTCCCTTTATTTACCTTCCACTGATCAGGAGCCCATATTTGAAGACTTTGTTAATGAAATTTCAATTAGTAGGTTTCTTCCATTTCCTGACTGTTTCTTCCTATTAACAGTGGTCAGCGTTTGTTTTCACGCTCCAAGAGACAGTCTGGAGTCTAAGGCTACTTTTGTATCGCAGCCAGTTAATAAAGAAGTTGGCACGCGCAAATAATAAAGTTTCAACATTAATTTCGAATCGTGCAACATCAGTGAAAGTAACAAGAAAATAAAGTGTGAAAGTTCACGCGTTTTTCCCAACTGATAAAAGTACACGATTGTCAGGACACCATTACTTCTTACCATGAAACCTGTCATCCATCGAAGTCTGAACTAAGTGAAGCCGACCCAATACTCTCAAAAGATGGTAATCATTGACCTTACGAAAAATCAAGTGGAACAGATGGTGATCTGCTTCCCCAGGAGGACTCCCATGCAAAAGTGACGTGGGTGCTCGTCGTTTGCAGATTTTGGTCTCACTTCGGTTGTTTGGGACGGAAAGTACCTAAATATGCTCATCCAGGTATCGCTTAAGGCTGTGCATAAAGAAATTTGCCAAAAAAAAAAACGCGGTGACGCTGACCTCACAGAAATCTCCTTTAGGGGTCAGTTTAAGCTTGAGCCACACCCACATTGGCCTCCCTTAGGGGTTCAAATAATAAGTTATTAATTTTCCGACGAGCAGCCCTTCACTTTTATATGAAAGTCCTCCCGGGGATTACCGACAAATATCGGCATATAAACTCGGACGATTTTGGCGGACACCTCGTATAGAGGACCAAGAAAGGCATATTAGGACCAAGGACAGGCATGTAATTGGTGTGGAGATTGCTAAGATCGTATACCATCTATTTTAAAGGATGGGATCACGTACGTATAAAATCATAAAATCATTGCTAATATCCTTATCACTAGTTCCTTTATCTGTGATAAGATAACGACAAAAGGGCGAATGGGTATTGTCATAATCGTAACTTCAAGTTCAGACAATGATAAACTCAGTAGTGAGTGATGAAGTTATGGAGAAAAGTAGGAAGTGGCTTTAAGTCAAATATCCTGATATTAATCAGTGTTGCAGTATGGCATAAAGTTACACAGTCAGCTGATGCACTTGCACATTTGATATCATTTATTTATGAGCTGACGGATTTGAATATCACAAGATACACGCGTGAAACAGAAAGTGATAAGCGCATATCTAAACCTAATTTGGAGTCGGAGTTAAATTGCCAAAATCGTGATTACCTACCTTTAGGCATATTACTGAGAGTACTCATGACAATTGCTTAGTACCATGGAGAATTCACTGACAGAATTTTCTGTTGAAGCCCAACGTGGACAAAAACCTCTGAATTCGAACAATCAGTAGAGGTGAGAACTGACGTGAAGTCTGAATCCGGCATTGTCGAAGGTTTCCCGAGCATGAACATTTCTCCAGGTCGAGACCCCTACACTGTTTTTACGTCTTTTCTCGTCTCACGTCTTGTTAGCGGTTATTACCCTGTTCTTACAGACGCTTGCATTCTACCACGTTAATGATGTAAAAATACATTCATCTGAACAACAGCTGAAGGATCTAGGATCACATTTTTAAAAATCGGCCTTTGGACCCTCCGTGTGGATCCAAATTCATATTGATATCGATTTTACTAAATTAAGCGCCACCGCGTTTATCATTTCGTTTTTGCGACTACAGTGCGGCGCTCATTTGATGCACCAGCCTACCGCGGACAGTTTTGTTGAGCCACTCAGAGAGGATCTTATTGCTTTTATATGTCTGCATACCGAGATGCTATGACAAAGAATATAAAGACCGCAAATACTTCACAAATCTTATGAAAAAAATACAAAAACAAAAAACGAGCGAGATTGCATGCGAGTAAACAAAAATCTGGTACAAATTTCCCTAAAACAGTCAAATATAACAATATAACAAGCTTAACAACTTGACAGGCTAACGGTTTTATTCGGTGGTGGTATAAAAAAGGTTACAACCGAACACTGTCTGGCTACCCCTGGCTACTCAGTCACTTCACTCGCTGTCCATCACGAAATTGATAGAGTACAGCATTACCAGCATAGCACTAGCACTGTATATAGACAATCAGATTTGTGATCGAAGGCCGGTAGATTTATACATCTTAGAATTTATACTAATATCAAATTCCTAAAGGTGTCCGGACACTAACTTAAGTAATGGTCCAGATAAGAAGGAAAGGACCAAAACGCAGTGAACACGTTGGAATGCAAAAAGGTGCTAACTTTACTATTGTCTCTACTAAGGTTCTGATTGGTTTAAACATCAAATTTTACGAAATCTTCGCAAAGCAGCATGTACATTAATCCCTTTTTTTTCTATCCAACTTCCTTATAACAAAATCTCGTCTGAGTCTAAGTAACACAGAAATCGTATGAGCGGATCGTGTAAAATTGTGAACATTTCTTGGCCATTGTTTGCAAATCTTGTGATTGGTCGAAATGTTTTAACACAAAAATACACCCTTTAAAAGTGGAGTTTAAATACATTTTCTTTCGTAAACAGCATTTTTGTAGATTTATGCACTCTCTGCGTAAAAATGAAAACATTTCTATGTGAGGAAAGCGTATTGCGCCACAACAAAAGAAATTGCTTCCCTTCTTACCTGGATCATTACTTAATTCAATGTACATTTCACAGCTGATTTCATTTTTTTAAGGGCAAAAAACAATTTACTTGATAAGAATTTATAAGTACGAGACTTATTGTGGCGTAGACGTAATTAACGGATTGTTGATTTTACTTCTTTGAACTCCAGTCCACATTTTCTTAATTTTTCTTTAAGGACTACCGTGTACCATCGTCCCATATAGTGTAAAGGTGAATGTGTGAAGGACATTCTAGCTACAAAATGTAAATTCTTCCACCTGTCACAAGACAGGAGAAGCATTGTTCTCGTTAATGTTATCTGTAAAACAAAAATGTTCGTTAGAACGCGATTGAAGTATGTCGAATAGCCTCTTCCAGACGTTCAGACTGTGGGGGCGACCCTCCAAGGGATGCCAGTAAGAAAAGGGCGAACGGGTGGGGTAGAGAGAAAATGCGTATTTTTCCTGACCCACTCTACTAATAAGAAGGCCAACTACTGGGAGTCGAACAAAGGACGGCCGGCCGAGACTATTAATACGAAGGTCAGTGGAAAAGTAAACTTAAACTTCTATAAGCTTAACCTATTTACGATTTTTCTTGTTGATAAAGTAAAAAAAGAAACAAAAAAACAAGAAAAAAAAAAAACAGAAAAATTGTCTTTTGTAGGATCACGAAGAATTTTTTTACTGTCACTGCGGCCCGTGTCACGCCACGCGAATTCAGCATCAATATGCAAATTTAGGTCGAATCCTTCAATTCTGAATCGCGTTGTGCCACAAGTTTTATTGCATAACTTGACAAAATAGCTATTAATCTTTAACTAAAACATGTTTTTAGTTCTAGTTTAGGTGCCACTTTTAAGAATTTTGAGATGTTTTTGAGGCATTTATTCGTGCATCTTGCTTTCTTAATTGGGTTAGTGAAATAAAGACGACCAGTTTTTGCTGATTACAGAAAGATAATGCCTAAATGGTATTGGAACAGTAAGAAGAAGTAATATGCTTCCAAATGAGTGCAATAGTCTAGGATTTGATGACCCGAAGTACTTTTAAACGATCGTTAAAAAACCTGTAAAACGGCATCTAAAATTTGCATATTTTAGCCGCTAACGGTCGTCCAGCAATGAAATGCTGGGAATGGCAGTAAAATAAACAATTTCCTCATTCTAACTGCAGTTTCGTTATTAGGATGGATAGTAGTGTTGATGATAAAAATATGAGGCAAAAGTTTTTGCGAGTCCAAAATCGAGAGGAACGCTTTTAGGGAGACTGCCTCTTAAAGCTTATCATTAACCTGTTGCAGTGTTGTTTTGAAAGAACTGACTCAGCACAAGTTTTGAAAACCGTGAAAGTTCTCTTTTTGTAAATCTGTCCCTTTAAGCTAAACCATGCATCAATTCTCTTTCAGTAACAACTCACTGGAGCTGAATGATAAGTCGATAAGAGAAGCATTGTATTGAGAAAGATATCCTAACTCTAGTTAAAATTTACTACAAAGTCTATTGAGTATTATCTTAAATAGCCTGCGAGCATTTGAGGGATATCATGAAAAGTAAACGAGCGAGTGAACACATCCGTTATGCTAAATAGGCTACATAGGCACCCTTAGCACCTATTTGTTGCCATTTGTTACCTGAGCCTCCCCAGCCGTAATGTAAATAGAACTCGTAATCATAGGCTGTCCGCCAGGAGCAGATTTCTTTGGTTCTCTTTCCACACCAAAATCTAGTTTTCGGTTGATAACAATGGCGATACCTTCTTGTCTTTTCCTTGTATTTCGTTGCCACAACTGCATGTCCCCCACCTCCTTCCATATCTATGGAAAATATGACAGGGTAGTCCTTTTTAAGCCAATGAACGCCATTGGCCGCAATCCGGGAATGACTTCCTCGTTCAATTCTTCCTCCATTGGCCACGGCTAATCGCTTTTTACGACTCGGAAGATAACTGACGACTCGAGACCTAGATCCTTGCCGGGAGCGAAACCATGGCGCGATCAAATACATTTTTCTCCTTTCCGTAGCTCCTTCTCCATTGACACATGTGGTATGAACCTGTGATCGTATGTCCTCCACGAAATGCTTCACTTCATCTGTCAGCCTTAACGGGGCTTTGGTAAGTCTATCACGGTATATAGATCCACTGTACTTCGAGTCAAGACTGTATCCAAGTCTATCATAGTATCCAAACACTTGAGCCCAGGCCACTGGACCGCACCCGCTCTTACAACCTCCACAGCACGAATGTTGGTCATAATCAGGGAAATCGTACAATTCGCGTGGAATCGATCCTGAACGGACACTGCGCCGAAGTCTTTTGGCATGCACCTGCAGGTTGATTGCAAAGTACTTTTTGACAAGTTCATTTTTGGGTCCTATGATTTCGACAGCAAATCCAGTTTCACGCCATTCTAATGCGTTTCCCACGAAGGTGTGGTTGCCATGTACCTCCAGCTGAAGGTACGAAAGATGATTGGGTGTCTCCTTTATAGCTGATGGGTTTATCTTGGTACTCATATCAGGACTACAAACGTCAACAAGCACCTTGCAAAGTTTCTGCTGCCACGCTGATCTTGAGCCTGCAGGCACACGCATTTTACCGCTAATTGTGACGTACACGTGAGGAACACGCTCGCCAATGGCTACTTTTATAATAGAGCCAGGGGTAAGGACTTCCTCGTCAACTTCTTTTCTTTCGTTTCTTCCATTATTGGGTCTGGAAAGAACTTCAGTAGTGGCCCAGTCTGACTTGGATCGTCTTTGGGCGGCCCTCTCTTGCCATAGGCTCTTGAAACTGTCCATGCTGTCTCTTACCATGTGGTCCAACAACCGCCAATCTTCGATCTAATTTAAGAAATACGGAATTTTTAATTTGCCAGCTAGTAAGCCACTAATAGGAATTCTCTTTTAAGTGTTCCCATTTATGGAAACTCCAATTTTAATTCGCAAAGGCCACTTTCTTTCAGTAAGCCCCCAATATATTTTTTAAAATTTTGGTCAATCAAAGATGGTTTCCTTCTTTTAGTTCCACACAAACTGTAAACGTTAGATTAAGGACTTCAAGAGTTTTACATGCTGCTGCCTGAGAATAATTTTGGTCAACCTCTTTAATAATGACTCTTTCCTTTTCTATGCAGGTTATTGCTATATACGTACGTTTGACATGATTTAGCATACTTCAGGGTTTAACAGATAAGTGTAGCGGATATTTAACAATTATTCAATGAGGCTGAGTGAAAAAAATATGCAGATCTGGAAAAATGTTATCAGCCGAGGTGGGTAGCAGTCTCAGAGTTGTGAACTCAGAGATCCGCACAATTCTTCCCCACATCATACGAAGGCCCAATTCAATAACTGTTTCATCATTTATTCAAAAATTTTCTAAGTTCTTAACAAATTAAAAAACTATACTTTCTTTAAAGCTTTGGCGTATTTCTTGGCACGGTTTCAAGATACAGACAGATGCTTTTTGTTGCTTGCAGATACTCCTCAAAAGTAGATAACATCCATCTATCAATATGTTTTGCGTATTCTTCAGTTTCTTCCGTTCAATTTTAGTCAGAAATTTAGCTATTTCGTTTGAGCGTCATGTTTTCAGTTCACCATTGCCCAAGAAGCCTGGTCTCCATCGATCAACCTCGTTTCCAAAAAAATATAATTTTAGCATCTTTCAAATACGGTAAGCGCCGGGGGATTGGAGTCAATCAAAAACGGCCGTGTATTTTGAATAAAATATTAATAAACGTAATTAATTGTGATTGTTTATCAGTATAATAATACTACCTGGGGATCATTATTCGTCCAGTTGTAACTCGCTGCCACTACTGTTCCATTGCCATTTTTACACATTATCAGTCCTAATGGCGACAGCCTGTAAAACTTCTCACACTGCTGACCATTCTCTTGAGCCTGTTGTATTACCACATCGGTTGGTCTTGGGTCGGGCCCACTCTCAACTTCTCGAAAATCTCCTGTTTTATGGCCGGAAGATAGCACAACGTAGTCACTTCCGGTGTCAATTTCGTAGTAGGCTACGTAATCTGTATCAAGGTCCAGACGATAGATTGGACGAGTGAGGCCAAGGACATCGGACACATTAACTCGATTGAGATCTCTGTAATCATCATCAGTGTCGGTCAGTTCTATTATGGAGTCAAGAACCTCATACGGTAACTCCCGGCATAGTAAATCGAACCCAATCGAACTAAATTTCAATCGAACTCAATCGAACTCAATCGAACTCAATCGGTGGATTGAGTTCGATTGCGTTCGGCAATCGAACGAAATCGAACTCACCGAAAAGAAAAAAAATAAATCGAACCCAATCGAACGTTTGATTTTCGAACTCGTGATTTATGTAAAACAGACGTTGAAAATCCATTACCAGATCTTAGAAGCTCGAGTTACTTCAGCCCTGAGTGTAGCGCACGTGTTTTTCGTAAACGAAGAAATTCCGCAGGAATGGCTTCAGATGCGTTGTGGATCGTAAGCTTCAAATGTATAGTCAAAGGCCACCAGGAATGCCGCTTTGACGGCAAGGATGGCGAAGTTTTCAGGGTTTGTTCTGTTCTGTTCTCTTAACTGCCGTGGACAGTTTGTAAATGGGGTTTGTGTTATTGAGTAAATAGTAAAAAAAGCGCAAGAAAAACTTGCTTTGACGGGCTTGCTTTGGGCTTGCTTTGTATAGGTTCACCAGAGCCAATCGAACGAAATCCATTTAATTGTGTTCGATTGAGTTCGGTTTCCGAACTCAGTCGAACACAATCAGACGGATTGAGTTCGATTGAGTTCGATTTGTTCGATTGAATTCGATTTGTTCGGAAATCGAACTCACTGAAAGTGTGGTGTTCGATTTCGTTCGATTGCCGAACTCAATCGAACTCAATCCACGGATTGAGTTCGATTGAGTTCGATTGAGTTCGATTTTCGAACGTTCGATTTACTATGCCGGGGGTAACTGTGTGCCAGTTATCGGGAATGCAAAGGCGATGACGATTAGAAAGAGGCAGGCTTGGGTCTTTTTGGGCATTTTCTTCCTCGGATCAGGTTTCCTCTTTTTGTTTCTCGTAAAACTGGAAATTAAAAGGAAACAAAAATAAAAATAAAGCAACAACAAAAAAAAACCATGCTTTGTCCAGCAGCATATGACTGGTGATGGACCACATCAGAATACCCCAGTGCGGGCTATCTCGAGTACGTGTAGATGGTGTAGATCGCTTGCCTCCATGATTGCATTTCATTTTAATTCTCTTCGTTGCTTCAGCAAGGACAGACTGTTGAAAAAAGCTTTTCAGAATTTTATGATGACTTTGAATAAGCCAACTTCTCATAGTAAGACGTCGCTGAATAAACATCACAACAACGTTCCTATTGAAGTTCGAAGGTCCTTTCCTCTTCCGAAGAGCGCAAGGCCCCTTTTCCTTAACGCTTAGCGAAACAAATATTCCTTTTATATCAATACCGAGTGGCCGACGTCAATAATCTCTGCAGAATGACAAACTCTCTGGCCGAATATAGATAGTATTTGGCATTGCTGTTCGGAGTTTGAAAAGTATTTCTGATTCTACAAAAAATTGACGATCTCATGCAACAGATTGCTGAGTCCGACGTCAGCACATCAATGGCAGCAGAGATGAACTGATCAGAGGCAGAATTTACCATCGGATTCCAAAACGTTTTCTCTTAGTAAAATGATCAAGACTTTTTAAAAAACAGATATTAAATAATAAAAACTGGAAAATTATCGTATTGCTGACTAAGTTTCGTATTGAGTTACCATTGCGCTTCAAGTTTCACTGATCTCTACAAGGTAATACCATTATATCTTACCGCAGATAATCAAACTACAGCCTGAGGTTAAGGAGTGATCCTTCGGACTGACCCTTGGGATGATGTCTGTAAGTGACTATGATTTGCCCCATCAAGGGTTTTTATACCTACGGCTTTCTATGATTTTTGGATATCGTTCAGAATCTTTCTGACATTGATTATTAGTTTTTGAAGAAAAGCCCAATTTAGAGCAGCTGACAAGATTAAACGGAATTAGTTCATAGCTACAGGAATATGATACAATTATCGTTCCTTTAAAATGACGGTCGGCCTGAAGACTGACCTGCTTCAAAGAATCGAATTTGAATTTTTCACGTGAAATTTTTAATCAGTGAAATAACTGAGAAGTACAACGTGGAACTCAGTGAGATCATAGATTCCATTCAGCAGTATTATACGAAAAAAGCACATGTCTGGCTTAAAATCGAATCATCCATCAGCTGTCCGATTTTCTCCTTATAAGGTAAAATTAAGGTTAGCAGGTAATGATGAGATAAAATTCAAAACTGTGCTACAGGACCAAAGAAATGAATCCGACAGGGCATGCGCACGCGCAATGTTCTGCTGGCCAGTCAGCTGTGATGAATTTTTTTTTCTTCATGGCATTTATCAACTGCTTTGCTGACGGCCAACCCTTTGCCGGGAGCAAGAGAAAAGAAGTAAAGTGCTTCACTGATATGCACAATGCGATACGTTGAAAAGGATCTATTTTCATTTGTCCTCCAATTGCCCTTGCTGTTTTCATAGGCAGTTCTTTATGAACCGAGCAAGAATATAAAAAGTGGAACAAGCAGACGTTTTGCCAAAAATCAGTCTGGATGAGGTTTTAAACCAAGTAATTAAACGACAAACGTTTTCAGAATGAAACGTATTGGACTCAAGTCATAGGACAAAAGGATTTCGGAAGATTTTGGGGCACATTTGAGTTTTTGATGGATTTTGGCCCCAGTATACCCAGAGAAGATACGTAATGTCTAAAGAATGTTTAATTTATCAAACCCCGCAACTTGTAAAACCCAGCTAAATTTGAATGCTATGCACCATAAAACAAACTCGAGCAAGAATACAAGGCTGGTTTGTAACACAACTAACGCATACTGAAAAGAGAAGACTGTATACTGTGTTTACTTTTTACTGTTTGCTATGGCTTAAAAGTTTGAAGACGATTTTATTAAGCTTTGTCCCGTCTTGCTTAAGGTCACCAAATAATCTCTATCGTAAAATGTGAATCCAAATTACTCACAAGAAGTTGAACAACTTCTAATATGAATTTCTTGTTTTGTGCCAAAGGTTTTCCTTTCTAGAATTTTCAGTGTCCGTTGAAGCAAAACACTGTACGGAAATATTAGCGCTTAGTTTACCCGTAACAAAAAAGTAGAAACCGAAATTTCGTTTCAAGTTTTAATTAGCGGCGTAATAGCGCTGTTCGTGTGAAAACGAAAAATCTCAACCAAGTCCACTGACAGCTGCAAGGAACCGCTGAAGGCCGAGGAAGATTAAAGGTGAGCTGAATCTGTTTGTTTAATTAGTGCCAGTCAATCGAACAACCACCTCCAGGGCTTTTTCCCTTTACTTAATCACACCTGGGAACGCAAACTCTCTCGATGAGTATTGTGCAGGCGTTTACGGCAGAGATGGTAAACTATGCCACTCAGCTGCCGTCTTTTAAAATTTTCCAAGGGAACCCACGGACCGAATACGTCAGAAGTCTCTCAAATGGTTCTCTCTACAGTTTAGAAGCCTGCTTAACCTGAGATCAGGCCCAATTTGAGCGGTTCTCATACATCCTCTCTAACGGCTACCGCTAAAATTTGGCTAATATGGAGTTGCCCTAAAAATTATATTTGTCTGTTCGGATGTCTTAGGGGAACTTAAGTAGTCGAGAAAGATTTATTAATGAGTTGTTTTTTTCGTCCCAACCGAAAAGGAAGTTCGAGGACATGGAGCCATCATTACAAAATTCTAGGGGAGGTATGTCTTAACATCGACATTTTCAGGAGATCTTTTTGAGAAATGATCGCAATATCTTGGTACTAAAATGTGAAAAGCACAACCTCCGAATATATAGCGGAAAACTCTGAATATCCTAGACGAATGGAATGTTATCCACAAGGGGACTGTAAGTCTTTCTCGAGCTTTAGAAGTTTCTAGGTAATATTTGTTTATACGAACAGTTTATTTTACAGAAAAAAAGTCATTGGTACGCCTGGACTTCCTTTGGTCTAATTATTTTGCAGCCCAGGCTTCAATTCGCTTCTGTATGCATTTTAGATTTCACAGATAATAAAACGGCAAATGTGTGTTTCACAACGAAGAAGGAAAATCCTTCCGTCTCAGCTGACGTCCGCGGATATTTCACAGAATACTAACACAATGGGTCCTAATGTTTTATTAATTCCTTCACCTGTCAAGTTTGGCTTAAAATGCATCCTTGGAAATTATAACCGAGTATAAAATATTTTCATCGGTTAGCCGTTTTCATGTACATTTGAGTATAAATTATTAAAAAACGGTGACTGGACCTCATAGTTCGGAATGACAAACGCTTTACTGCATGGAAATTCAGGCCTGATTTTTTTGTTCATTTTACACCGAATACAAATGCAAACAGCTGACTATAGGAAATATTCCTTTGTTGGTGTTTTACAGAGCTTGAATAAAAGAGTTTTGATCTGCGTTCAAACTGACTTATGAGAAAAATTAATCAAATCGCAAAAATGTTTGAAACTAAGACTAGCAAAAATCAATGAGACACTCGTTTAAAACCGTGTATCCATGGACCCATTGTTACCTAAACGAGTGCATCCATTTTGGACGGTTTGGTAGTCCGCTTGAACATCTTTTCGATGATTCTTTTCATCCTGTACTGCAGGTCCTTTATCTTCACACTGTTGTTGATCATCAATGTTCCGCTTAGAGACAGAAAATGTCCCAATTTCTTCTGTATATTCAGGGATATCAATAATGAATCCTTCCGTGTCGACTTTCCATTTTTCACGGCTGTGCGACCGTTCGGCACTCTTACTTACTTCATCTTCGCTAGTGGTATTCGTCTTTGGATTTTCGTCCTCTTCTTCATCATAATTTTTCTTCGCACACGTCATTATCAGTTTACAACAGCAGATTACTGTCAAAGTCATGATGAAAACGAGGACAAATGTAATTGCCAGCAAGAAGAACGATGTTCTGTACGCCATCGTACGAGTCGCTTATGAGGGCCGAGTTGAAGTTTAAGCGCGGGGAACGATGTTCTACGAAGACTGTTGAAGTCGCTTTCTTAGTTTTCACTTCCCGTGACGTCAGGAAAATCTGCTTGCCTTTAAACTAAGCTAAGTTTTGTTTTTTAGTAGTCAAATGAAACACAAAGCTAAAGAATAGAC